ACCAATGCTCATTGATAGATAGCTGTTGTGGATCAAATGACATGAGCTCAAAATAAATAAAGCACAAATTTGGCCAGCACAAAAACAAAAAACAAAAAAACAAAAAACAACAAAAAAAAAAAAAAAAAAAAAAAAACCTGATAGCAGATGTACAGTAACTTTTGGAGATCCAAACAAACCCATTTCAGTTAAAAAAAAAAAAAAAAAATCAATGGCCCAAAAATCCTGAAGTGTAAAATTAATAAGGTTTGTCAGGTAGAGCGCACACCTTTACAAGTATACAAGGAGTATTTCAAAACAATTCAGCCATATTTGCCCATTTATCCATGCACCCTATCCATCTACTGATCCATCCATTTACTGATCCACCCACCCATCCACTCATCCATCCATCTACCCATCTATCCAATGTATATTAAGAATCTACTCTATACCAGCTATCACATAAGGTGCTGGGGGGTCAACAGAATACAAAGGCAAGGAGCTTCTTATTAGGTAAAATACAGATCCTCCCCCCCCCCATGCACAAAAATAAAAAAGGGGTGAGTAGACAAAATAATTAAAACAGAGGCCTGATGATAAGCAATGGAATGTGATAGGCTGTAACAGGAATAATAAGGTGTCAGCTAAGGTCTCAGGTTTTCATTTAACAAGATATGTGAAGACAGGTGAACAAGAAATGGTTCTCTTGCATATTTAATAAGAGAGATTCAAGTCAATAAACATGAGAACAAGGAAAGGATATTATTGCAGATAATGCTAGCTACATGCCATGAAGAAGGCAAATAGTCAACAGAAGAACACTGAGGGACAGGAGAGATGCTGACACTTGGGCCAGTCACCCAGTCTCCCCAAAGGAGGTGGCATTGGTTCTACAGCTTCCAGGACCAGGGTGGTAGAGGTGAGATCAGAAAGGTGCCCAGGAGCCTTCCACATCAGGGTGTCTGGGCATTATCCACAGGACCAAGAGAAACCTCTGCATCTGCTGGGTACTTTGGGCAAGCAATTCCACTGGGCCCTGAGGCCATCACGGGCTTTGTAGGGAGCCAGACCCCTCTCAGCCAGAGCGACCTAGGCAGGCAGCCTTGCAGCACCCACCAAGGCTCAGAGGGTGAATCCTGCTCTAATCACACTTGTGGTTTCTAACTGATCCTTGCTGAGCAGGAAAGATGTCCCTTCTACTCAGAAATGACCTGTGGGAAACCCATCCCAAGTTCTCCAACTGGGAGGATGCTGCCAATTTAAACAGCTGACAAAAGTATGGAAGACCCATTCCAAGACATCTGAAAAATAAGTGAGGAGCCTAGATGTTGGGGAGGAGACTCCACACACCTCTCCCTGTTCTGAGGCAGCAGCAGGAAGAGCAGATACTCCTAGGCCCAGCTTTTTATCCTTGTCCCGCCTCCAGTGAGTTGGTGAACTGGGCGAGTTATTTGCCTTGCCAAGCAGGAAGTCCTGGACCTGCAAATGGGTTTAAAAGTAATCTTTCTTGAGGGGTCCACCTGGCACACAGGAGGTGTCTGAGAAATTCCAGACTCCTCTCTGGAATTCCAGTTCTCCCACCCCTCTTGGTCAGAAGCTCTGGAGCCAAGAGGGAGGGAAGGAGAATAAAAGGGAGGGAACCGCCAATCACAGCAGTTACTATGCTCCCTGGTGATGCTGGCAATAGGTTAAAGGGCTGGTGATAATAAGATTCTCTCTCCATATTCCTGTGATGGCGAAGAACGGAGACATGAAGATAGAGCATCCATCAGACTCAGAAAGGAGGCAGAGGAAGGCAGGTGATCAAAGGAATAAATGTGTTGCAATCTGAACACAGCCTGCCTGCTTTCGTCCCTCTGGGAGGAGACGCAAGGATTCCCATTCCAGCTAAAACACATTTTTTCTTACCCAAACCAGCCTGAGTGGGGTCATAGATGTGGCAGGTTTTCAGAACAGACCCCCTCGAGCTTCATCATCTCCTTGGTGTGGCCACATCTCCCAGTGCTCAGCCAAGCACTCTGAGCTACGCCTGAGAAATATGACACTGCCAAGGAGACTTACCCATTTTGAAAGGTCAGAGAATCACTGCTATTGGAACCTGTGCACAGAGCATGTGTAAATGCACCCAGCTCCCCTGAGTGCTTTATCATGCTCAGGAGAGGGGACTCAGGAAAGGGCAGCCTCTGGAAGTCACTTTCCAGGCAAAGCATTTAACTTCTTGGTGGCTGGGGATCCAGGGACTCCTTGGGCACAGGACCTACCTGCTCGTGTCACTTTTATTGCTCTCTTCTACCTCCCTGAGATGCAGCTGCCTCCAGCCTCCTGGGCTGTGAACTACACTAGGGAGTCAGACCCACCCTGCCCAGTTTCATGGAGCCTCCCTCCCAGAGAAGGATGAACAACTCCTCACCCCAATCACCACAGTATTGAGAAGGCAGGATGCAAAATCAGTTAAAAACAACAGTCACCTTGGCCACAGACACCAGATCATCTGTTCTGCAATATGCTGGTTACTAAACCACTACGAAGAGAGAAGAACTGAATGCCATTACCCCAGTGGAAATTCTCATTTTCTTGCCTTCGACTTAGAGCTTCTTAGCATCTCAAGATGCTCTGGGGCTTGTAGGGATCCATGAAAACCAGAACTATACTGAGGTTTAAAACAATATCTACCACACTAGTGTGAAAAACACTGATGCCTGGGGAGTCTGGGGAAGCCTGCAGAAACAGTGGGAAAAGTCCAGACTGTGGAAATGTATAGACCTGGGTTCAAACCACAGCCTTGCCACTTACAAGCTGTGTGGCTATGGGCAAGTTACTTCCCCTCTCTGGTCTTTTGCCCCTCCATCATGGACCAGGGAGATGATGAGACCTAGTTGGCCTATGTGCTGTGGAGATTTAGGCAAATGCAAGTGTTATCCTGTGGCTCACAGCTAATACCCAATGACTTATTCATCATGTTGACTTCATGAGCCCTGACAAAGGAAGAGACTGAGGAACTAGGTTAACCAAGCTACCAACAAACCAACTCAATCAAATGACCCACAACCTCATAGACTTTCCTAGCTTTAGTGGTCAAGGTGCCAGTGGGTAAAGAGGGCAGATGAGAGGACAGGAAATCCCCTGGAGAGATTGGCCAGAAGGTGAACATTTGGTCCCATGAATGAGAGAAGCTGTCTTTCCTCTTCTCTCCTTCCCACCCCTGCTTCCTCCAGTACAGCACAAAGAATAGGATATACTAGCCAAGGCTGACACCCCCAAATGCAGGACAGAATGGTTGGAGACACAGGCTCCAGAGCCAGAATGCCAGGCTCTGAATTCTAGCAGGTACTGGGGAGACCTTGCTGAGACCCAGTTTCCTCATGTTAAAGAAGGGAACAGTTGGGTGGCATCTCTTCAAAAAATCAAACATTGAATGACTACCCGATCCTGCAATTCCACTCCTGGGGATATACTCAAAAGAACTGAAAACAGGTGTTCAAACAAATACTTGTCCAAACCTGTACACAATAGCACTATTTACAATCACCAGAAGGTAGAAAACAACCTAATTATCCAACAGGTGAATAGATATACAGATGTGATCTATCTGTACAATGGAACATTATCCAGCCATCAAGGAAATGAAGGACTGATAACTGCTACAACGTGATGAAACTCATAAACATTATGTTAAATGAGAGAAACCAGTCATACAAGGCCATGTATTATGTGATTCCAATTCAATGAAATTCAGAGAGACAGATAGCAGATTAGTGGTTGCGGGGAGGGAAAATGGGAAATGACAGTTACTTGGTGATGAAAATGTTTAGAGGTGATGGTTGCACAACACTGTGAATGTGCCAACCACCACTAAATTGTTCACTTTTTGATGGCTCATTTTGTTATGTGAATTTCACCTGAATTAATTATTTTAAAAAGAAAGTGGTTGCTCAAATTCTTCTGCTAGTAACTGGCAGCCAGTAGCAGCAGCCTGGGAAAGGTACTCCAATGAACAGTGGCTCTGGGAGGAGGGGAGGGGCAGTGAGAGCACAAAGCACTCAATCACCACTCAAAGGACAGAGACCTCAGCTCCAGCCTCCCACAAAGCCTCCTTTGCCACTTAAACCAACCCCAGACCTCTCAAGGGCCAGCCGAATGCCTCTGCAGTACCATCACACATGCAATTTACATGTGTAATAAAAGGCTTTAGTCTTGACACTAATCTCAGAAAAAAATTTTCTTACATTTGTATTAATTCTCCATCCTGGGTTTTAATTGAGGAGAGGATACAGCATCACAAGGGAAATAAAACCTTAGTTCATCTATGAGAAGGCCATGTGGCTTCATTAGAAATTATATTAGTTCCTCATTAAGCAACAATAATAATGTAGAACCAGAATCAATAAAAAAAAAATGCATTGCCCCAAGGTATAGATCCATTTGGTGCAATTATATCTTTGCATGCCAACTTCAGGTGGCTTCAGTGCTCATGAAAATGTGACGTGATGTTGGAAGAGGAGATTTCCTTCATTCACCTTCGAAGCTGAATGATGAAATAGAGGCAAGGGCGTGATTCCCATCCTCCCAGCCACTCTCATCGTTGCTAATAAGAAGCATGTAACCACCCGTCCTCTCAAACCCCAGCAAAACTGCTTCCATTTTTTAGAGTTCATACATTAAAGGTGCCAAGTAGGCATCTCTCACCAGCCTTCCATGATCCATTAGTAGTGACTGTTCTGTGTAAGGGTTGAATTATGCTGTGGTTGACTATAGATGTCTGCCTTGGGCCCAGGGTTGGAGTGCTATGCCTGGTGGTATATGCCAGTTATGCCCAGGAGTCTCTCCAACTGGGAGGTCATGTTAAAAAAAAACAATAGGCTACTAGCACTGATGATGCCTACCTCCTTAGCCACACCCTCTAAATAGTGGGACTAGGTTTGCATAGTAATCGAGTATATGAGACTATCTAACCTCCTTCATTCCCAACCAGACTTAACAAAAATCCTAAGTCAGGACAAAATGGGTATTTACCTGACCAGGCTATATGTCAGGGAGAGTAGATCCTACATAAAATAAAATATAAAATAAAATAAAATAAAATAAAATAAAAATACAAAGACAAGAAGTTGAATTTCACATTGAAACAATTGTTTTTCTTTTGTCTTTCTCCTAGACAAAATAGCTCCATTCTTTAGAAAGAAATATTTGATTCATTCATTCCACAAATGTGCATTCAGTGCCTATGTGCCAGGGGTAGTCAGACATCAGGGAGGCAGTCAGGGACCAGATCAAGTCCATCCTTGAAGGTCAACATGCAGTTTGGATGTTTTCTTGAGCCATTTGGAAAGCCACAGGAAGACTTTTTTAAGCATGTTTTCACAGAACCCAAAGCCACACCCTATTCGGCTCAGGGGCCTCAACTGGCCCCCCTGGAAACACCTGACCCACACATCTGCTTGCTTGTTCTCAGAGCACTGAGCCAGCTCCCAGCACAGAGCGCCCTCGCTGAGCCACACAGATATTGTGAGACGCGAATCTCAGAGCCAGCCTGCCCGGAGCCAGCTGTCTTTCTCCAAGCCAAGAAAACCTCTTCCTTCCTCTCTCTCTCGCTGCCCCTCTCTCTGGCTCACACTTCTACCATATTTCCTACTGCCCCAGATAGTTTCCCACCCAGAGGAAGGAAGATACCACATGCTTACCTTTTGTCCTTCAGCTTGAGTCCCTATATCATGTTCCTGTGGGCTCCACCAGTACCTCCAACTCCAAGGCAGAAAAATAAGAGGACCCCTTTCTGGGCCTGTGCCTGATATCTGGAATTCCCTCACTGCTAGCTGGTCCCAACCAGGGTTCCAAGCTCATGAGCTGTGTCAGTATCTTAGCCAGGCCAGCACCTCAAAGACAGAGACTGAATATTGCTCTGCTCTGCTGCCTGCAGTCTCGGGCCCAACAGACCTGGCCACTGGAGAAGGCAGCAGTCAACCCTTGCCTCCTACCAGCACCCACTGCTGAGTCTCAGGCTCCTCAGCCCACTTCATGGATGGGCATGGGACTAATGAGACACCAGTGCCTGGTTTACAGACAGCACTCAATAAAGACCTGAGTTCAGGAGCCATTAGTAGCATGTTTATTATCATTGTTGGTCAGTCAAGGCCATGACCAAGCGATTAACAGTGAATATGGGCTAGAACCAGCCAACATTCAGTTCACAAAAAGAGAAATCGGATGACACTGAGCTATAGCCACAATGTGAATGTAGATAATTCATAGTGTGGATGCTGGGTAAACACCTGAAGGGTGAGCCACTGTTCCTCCTATTCCTTCCCAAAGGTTGTTACACAGGCACCCCTGTGGCACTTCCCTCTGGCTTACAAGGTGTAAACAAGACATCCTATCCTCTCTGCCTGTGCTGAAAGGCACAGATAGGGTAGAGTGCCTGTCTTCTCCCACATCAGTGTTCGAACACTGTGCTGCTGGCCTCAAGCTTCAAAGGGAGGTACATATACCAAGAGCAAGTGCACAGTGGGGAATACACACTGAGAGTGAGTGCACAAGTGGGGTATACATATCGAGAGTGAGTATACAAGGGAGCTACACACTCAAGAGAGTGAGTGCACATGGGAAGTACACACACTGAGAGTGAGTGCACAAGGGAGAGCCCTGGTCTCCAAGTGAAGGAGAAAGGTGGAAGAACATATTCCTTTCTCCTAGGGTCTTAGAAACAAGCCCTGTGCCTCCGTGCCTCTCCTCCATCCATCATCCCTCCCTTTCCTCATCTTCAATCCCTCCTGCTATGCCAACTCCTTCTCAGGGCCCAGAAGCATATCCAAATCTCCTCTCTTCCTTGCTCCTTCATCCCATTCAGCAACTATAAAAACTCTGTTCTCTTTGTTTCTTTCCATCCACCCTCCAGAGCTGTGCTCAACATTGGAGACACAATGAAGAGCTCAAATGGACACAGTTCCTGATGGCACATACAGTCTGGGGAAGAAGCAGACAGTAAGGAGGGAATCACAAAATTCATGTAAGACTACAGCTCTGAAGACGTGTGTGTGGGCCCTACACCTTTCACATTCACTCCTCAATGCCCGGGCCCCGCCCACCCAGACAGCTTTATTGTACAACCTCTACCCCTTCTCACCTTACCAGGAGCCCTCTGCAGGGACTCTCCATTCCCTCTAAAAGCTCCCTTTCTGGCTTCTTTTTCCAAAGTGCTTTCTCCTTTGGGCTCATTTTTCAAGACCTATTCCAGGACGCCAGCATCCTCTGGGAACCTGCTCTGCATGCATCTTATTCCCCCTTCCTTAGAGTCATTTACTATCCCTCCAGACCTCAATTCCCAACTCCTTCAGGACCCATGAATATATGTGTCTATTCCCGATGACCTCCTGGACTCTAGACCCAACCAACTGACTGTCCTCTCACTCTCTTCACATGGGTGTCCTACCAACATTTCATGGGTTCCACTCTCCTCTTCCCACTGCTGAGCCTCATCTCCTGGATCAGAGAAGAGCATCCCAGTGCCCCCAGGCCTCCAAGCCTCAGAGCCTGCAGCCTGGGCACCTCCTCTCACAGCTCTATATCCAATCCCTGTTGATCCACTCTACTGGGCTCTCCTCCCTTGCCTGGTTACTGTATAATTACATCACACCAGACTCTTGGAAAACTTCTGGACATGTATCTTTGTGCTGCTGAAAACAATTTTGGTAAAAGCAAGGGAACCCGGAATAATTTGGTCACAATGAATATCCCACTGTGATTGTTTTTCTGAGTGTTGGTCATCTTGTTGTGCCATAAAGAGGTTTTTAAATAATTTGTATACATCTTTAACAACTTGGATTCACTTATTCCCATATTAGGAGTTTCATTTTATTTGTTTAAGCAACCAGATCCTAGTATTGCCAGACTCAGCTGTAACTAGAGGCAAATAACAGGCAATGAAAAGTCTCCTATAAAAATCTGGTTTACAGCATCTGTCTAGATAGTGTCATATAACAGCCCCTTGAAAACAAGCATTTGAAAAGGAAAGAAAAGAAAAGAAAAGAAAAGAAAAGAAAAGAAAAGAAAAGAAAAGAAAAGCAAGCATTTGCTTTCTGTCAATATGCTGCCCTGTGAAGATCCACTATGTAGTATATGTGATTTTGGAAAGGTAGGGTGCCCATTGAATTTATATAAATCACAATCTCTTCTGAATTATAGATAAAGTCCCTACTCTTCATTAACCTGACCCAGAAAAATCCATCACCATACAAGTTTAACATGTATTCTTCTAGCCTTTTCCCTAAACATCACAAACATCCCCACCTGCAGATTTATATACACACACACAGATATACTTTAATTTTTAAAAAATGGCTCGGAGCTATAGATATTGATAGGCACACTTGCTTCTTATAAACTTGGCAATAGAGTATAAATATCTTTTCCAGATAAGCCAATTCTCAGTGTTAGTGCTATTGACAATGTGGACTGGATAATCCTTTATAGTGGGGGCTGACTTCTGTATTACAGGATGGTTAGCAGCATCTCTGGCCTCCACCCACTAGATTAAGATAACACATCCCCTCCCCAAATTGAGACAACAACAAAAAAATAGCCCCAGACCTGGCCTGGTTCCCCTGAGGCGACCCCAGGCAGGGAACCCCTGAGGTGGAGCCACATCTTCCTTTTTAACAGCTGCTTAGAATTCCATACTATGGATGTGCCATAATTTATTTATTTCCCTCTTCGGCAACATTCAAAATCTATTTTAAATGCATCAGAGGGACTTAACAGTTTTAAAAGGCCACAATATATAAAGAATCATTTTACGTTATCCTTCTCATAAAATGTGAAGTACTGTGCTCCTGGTTTGTTTAAAACAGATAGGCATTCTGTGTCCATCAGGCAGCTCTGTGAGCATGTTTTCTTTGCTTATATGATGTGGGCATTGACAGTACTCCACGTGTGTCAGGAGGAGGTGGTGATCTTTGGTGCTGGTGCTGGTGTGGAACACAGAGCGTGCACCTTCACACACTGCAGGTGGGGCAGCAATGGGACCTTTCCTGTGGGTAATCAGGCAAAGCAATTCAAGAGCCGCCACCCTGTCTGACTGTATGTCTTGCTCAGTAATATCAGCTGGACCAGATAGCTACATTCAGCCTGTCCCCTCTCTCTAGGCTGGCTGAAATCAGTGCAGCTAGATGGCTCTCCAAGATAAATGCCGGGCCCTTCTCAGAAAGACAATTAATGAGCTCAGAGACTGCTTAAGCAGAGATGAAATGTGAGATTAACCGACACAGAGCCATCTATCCACCCCACCAACAGCCTCTTTCCTCCTGGCTCGCTGTTTCATTAGACACCACCAAGGCAACCCACACAATGAACCGTGGCTGTCGGGCCTATTTTTGAGATAATTACAAGGCTCAAGCTTGGATCCACTTAAAGGCAAAAATTGGGACAGAGAAAGTTTAAGGCGAACTCTACCCCTCTCTCCTCTGTTCAAAATGTCCCAACAGGCTTTAAAGAGAAGAGAAAACTGCATGAAACTTTCATCAGAGCCCAGTTGGTTGCTGCAGGAACTATGAGCCTTAAGTTCTAATTTTGGACAGTGCCCAGTAGAATAATCAGGCACCTTCCCTCCCTGCAGGCCTGCTGATTGCCTCACCACCCCTCTGTTCTCTGCATCTGGGAGTGTGAGTGCCCTCAGGGGAAGGAAGGAAGGAAGGAGTGGGGAGAAAAGAAGAGAAGGCAGGGAGACAGTTCACAGCAGGATCCCTGTGTCTCTAACTGCAACTGTTATTATCACACCACCACAGGTATGAAAGTTCATATGGTACTACTCCATACCCCAGTCTTGAAAGGGGATCCATTCTCTGCTTGCTGATTTGTCCAGTCCTCTCCAGCCTGCAATCTCTTTTTTTTTTTTTTTAATGAATTTTATTGATTTTTTACAGAGAGGAACAGAGAGCAATAGAGAGTTAGAAACATCAATGAGAGAGAAACCGATCAGCTGCCTCCTGCACACCCCCTACTGGGGATGTGCCTGCAACCAAGGCACATGCCTTGGATCGGAATCGAACCTGGG